CATGCAAATAAACAACAACATGTCCGGAGTATAATTCATGACCACGTTTTTGTTTATGTGCGATATGTATCCACAATATAAACGGAAACACCCAAACCATGACATTAAATGAAAGCTAACAACCAGCTGAATCCAGTGATATGCAACTCATTAACATTGCATGAAGTATTTCAGAGCAGGGAGCGAAAGTTCCACGAAAAAACGCCAGCGAAAACCAAGCAAGCATGTAAATCTTGTCTTACCTTTGCCGTTTTTCAACAAAAAGTTATTTCCATAGCGATAAAAGTCCGTTTGTTGTTATGTCCGGTCAATAGCTTCGCGGAAACGCCATTTTGCATTTTTTCTGTGGCTCCTTGGTCTCATGACGTCACCAAATATGGAATGACTCCCCGTGCGTAAGAGGTGGTCTCTCCACGCTGCGCGTCGTGTGATTCGTCGGCGATCCCGTCAGTCTCAAAATGGTTGAGCTGATTGGTTTCCATAGAATCAGAGCTTTCCAGCGATCTATAGATCTCCCGGATTGGACAGATGGTCGGGGGGTAGGGACACCCAGAAGCTCGACGTCGAAAGCGTTTGTGAATGAAAGGTTCCCAAAAGCGCAGCAAGATGGCGTAAATGAGCTTCTACCCCCCTTTTACAGCGTTTCTTTAGGAGTTTTTTGCTGAAATCATGTCCCATAAGCAAGAAAAGAAGACTATGAACGTAGCTGAAGCTTTGGACAAGATTTTTTCCATATTTCAATTATTGTGCCAAATTGTGCCAAACTGTGCCAACATGGATTACGCCTGAACTTTGTTCAATCAAAACCTTTACAGAATATTAGTTTCTTGTAGTATGAACACCAAACTTGCTACAGATGTTCTTGACATGTAGTGGTTACAATTGATTGTGTTTATTTGCTTCGTTATAAGTAAAATAAGGAGATATTGGAGGAAACATGTGTTTTTTTTTTTAGGCGGAGTTCATTTTTTGGCCATTCCAACATCAATTACTCTTACCCAGTGTTCTTGACTGTCAAATTAACTCATCCACACCACTCCCCAAGAACCTATCTTCATTTTGATACCAAGATTTGCAGTTTAGGCCTTGTAAAAGCTGAGAAATGCCTTAAAAAGTAAAAGTATAGGATTTTCGGAAAATAGGCCTCAGGGCTTAAGAGGTTAAGGCTCCAGTCTCAATAGAGGCGTGGGTTCAAATCCCACCACTGCCAAATTTGACCTGAATAATTTTCTTTTTAAGAAAGTTGCCAAAATTTGAACCGTTTGGTAAAATATTTGGTCTTATTTACTTTGGCTTGATGCAGAGGAGTTTTAGCATGTTCTAGGACGTTCCAGGCTCTGTTTTCAATTTCCAGTTAAGTAAAGTTTTTCCAATACCTTGTCTCGTTTAATGCCACTCCATGGTAGTGTGGCCGAGCGGTCTAAGGCGCTGGATTAAGGCTCCAGTCTCAATAGAGGCGTGGGTTCAAATCCCACCACTGCCAAATTTAACCTGAATAATTTTCTTTTTAAGAAAGTTGCCAAAATTTGAACCGTTTGGTAAAATATTTGGTCTTATTTACTTTGTCTTGATGCGGAGGATTTTATAGCTTGTTCTAGGATGTTCCTCACTCTGTTTTCAATTTACAGTTATGTAAAGTTTTGCCAATACCTTGTCGCATCTGTTCTAGATCCATGGTAGTGTGGCCGAGTGGTCCAAGGTGCTAGATTTAGGCTCCCGTCTCAAAAGAGGTGTGGGTTTTAATCCCACCACTACCAAATGTGATATGATTTGATTCTTTAAAAAGAAGTTCCCAAAACTTGAACAGTTTGGTAAAATATTTGATTTTATTTACTTGATGCACAAGATTTTGTTGCTTGTGTCAGGACGTTCCACACTCTGTTTTCAGTTCTCTATGGTACTGTTGGCCAGAGGTCTAAGGCTCTACGTTTAGGTTCCAGTCTCAAAAGAGGCATGGGTTCAAATAACTCCACTGCCAAATTTGTCCTGAACTGTTTCTTTCCAAGGAAGTTGCCAAAATTTGAACAGTTTGGTGAAATATTTGGTTTTATTTAAATGATGCATGTGATTTTTTTAGCTTGTTCTAGGATGTCCCAAGCTCTGTTTTTAATTTACAGTTTTGTAAAGTTTTCCAAATACTTTTTGGCATCTGGTCCCACTCTGTGGTAGTGTGACCGACCAGTCTAAGGCGCTGGATTAAGCCTCCAGCCTCAATAGAGGCCTGGGTTCAAATTCCACCACTGCCAAGTTTGGCCAGAACAGTTTTTTTTCCATGGAAATTGACAAACTTTATTAGCTTGGTGAAATATTTGGTCTTATTTACTTTGGCTTGATGCAGAGGAGTTTTAGCATTTTCTAGGACGTTCCAGGCTCTGTTTTCAATTTACAGTTAAGTAAAGTTTTGCCAATACCTTGTCGCATTTAATGTCACTCCGTGGTAGTGTGGCCGAGCGGTCTAAGGTGCTGGATTAAGGCTCCAGTCTCAATAGAGGTGTGGGTTCAAATCCCACCACTGCCAAATTTGACCTGAATAATTTTCTTTTTAAGAAAGTTGCCAAAATTTGAACCGTTTCGTAAAATATTTGGTCTTATTTACTTTGTCTTGATGCGGAGGATTTTATAGCTTGTTCTAGGATGTTCCTCACTCTGTTTTCAATTTACAGTTATGTAAAGTTTTGCCAATACCTTGTCGCATCTGTTCTAGATCCATGGTAGTGTGGCCGAGTGGTCCAAGGTGCTAGATTTAGGCTCCCGTCTCGAAAGAGGCGTGGGTTTTAATCCCACCACTACCAAATGTGATATGATTTGATTCTTTAAAAAGAAGTTCCCAAAACTTGAACAGTTTGGTAAAATATTTGGTTTTATTTACTTGATGCACAAGATTTTGTAGCTTGTTCCAGGACGTTCCACAGTCTGTTTTCAGTTCTCTATGGTACTATTGGCCAGAGGTCTAAGGCTCTACGTTTAGGTTCCAGTCTCAAAAGAGGCATGGGTTCAAATAACTCCACTGCCAAATTTGTCCTGAACTGTTTCTTTCCAAGGAAGTTGCCAAAATTTGAACAGTTTGGTGAAATATTTGGTTTTATTTAAATGATGCATGTGATTTTTTTAGCTTGTTCTAGGATGTCCCAAGCTCTGTTTTTAATTTACAGTTTTGTAAAGTTTTCCAAATACTTTTTGGCATCTGGTCCCACTCTGTGGTAGTGTGACCGACCAGTCTAAGGCGCTGGATTAAGCCTCCAGCCTCAATAGAGGCCTGGGTTCAAATTCCACCACTGCCAAGTTTGGCCAGAACAGTTTTTTTCCATGGAAATTGACAAACTTTATTAGCTTGGTGAAATATTTGGTCTTATTTACTTTGGCTTGATGCAGAGGAGTTTTAGCATTTTCTAGGACGTTCCAGGCTCTGTTTTCAATTTACAGTTAAGTAAAGTTTTGCCAATACCTTGTCGCACTTAATGCCACTCAGTGGTAGTGTGGCCGAGCGGTCTAAGGCGCTGGATTAAGGCTCCAGTCTCAATAGAGGTGTGGGTTCAAATCCCACCACTGCCAAATTTGACCTGAATAATTTTCTTTTCAAGAAAGTTGCCAAAATTTGAACCGTTTGGTAAAATATTTGGTCTTATTTACTTTGGCTTGATGCAGAGGAGTTTTAGCATTTTCTAGGAAGTTCCAGGCTCTGTTTTCAATTTACAGTTAAGTAAAGTTTTGCCAATACCTTGTCGCATTTAATGCCACTCCGTGGAAGTGTGGCCGAGTGGTCTAAGGTGCTGGATTAAGGCTCCAGTCTCAATAGAGGCGTGGGTTCAAATCCCACCACTGCCAAATTTGACCTGAATAATTTTCTTCTTAAGAAAGTTGCCAAAATTTGAACCGTTTGGTAAAATATTTGGTCTTATTTACTTAGTCTTGATGCGGAGGATTTTATAGCTTGTTCTAGGATGTTCCTCACTCTGTTTTCAATTTACAGTTATGTAAAGTTTTCCAAAACTTTTTGGCATCTGGTCCCACTATGTGGTAGTGGGCCGAGTGGTCTAAGGCGCTGGATTAAGCCTTTAAAAAGATTCTTTAAAAAGAAGTTCCCAAAACTTGAACAGTTTGGTAAAATATTTGGTTTATTTACTTGATGCACAAGATTTTGTAGCTTGTTCCAGGACGTTCCACACTCTGTTTTCAGTTCTCCATGGTACTGTTGGCCAGAGGTCTAAGGCTCTACGTTTAGGTTCCAGTCTCAAAAGAGGCATGGGTTCAAATAACTCCACTGCCAAATTTGTCCTGAACTGTTTCTTTCCAAGGAAGTTGCCAAAATTTGAACAGTTTGGTGAAATATTTGGTTTTATTTAGATGATGCATGTGATTTTTTTTTAGCTTGTTCTAGGATGTCCCAAGCTCTGTTTTTAATTTACAGTTTTGTAAAGTTTTCCAAATACTTTTTGGCATCTGGTCCCACTCTGTGGTAGTGTGACCAACCAGTCTAAGGCGCTGGATTAAGCCTCCAGCCTCAATAGAGGCCTGGGTTCAAATTCCACCACTGCCAAGTTTGACCAGAATAGTTTTTTTCCATGGAAATTGCCAAACTTTATTAGCTTGGTGAAATATTTGGTCTTATTTACTTTGGCTTGATGCAGAGGAGTTTTAGCATGTTCTAGGAAGTTCCAGGCTCTGTTTTCAATTTACAGTTAAGTAAAGTTTTGCCAATACCTTGTCGCATTTAATACCACTCCGTGGTAGTGTGGACGAGCGGTCTAAGGCGCTGGATTAAGGCTCCAGTCTCAATAGAGGCGTGGGTTCAAATCCCACCACTGCCAAATTTGACCTGAATAATTTTCTTTTTGAGAAAGTTGCCAAAATTTGAACCGTTTCGTAAAATATTTGGTCTTATTTACTTTGTCTTGATGCGGAGGATTTTATAGCTTGTTCTAGGATGTTCCTCACTCTGTTTTCAATTTACAGTTATGTAAAGTTTTGCCAATACCTTGTCGCATCTGTTCTAGATCCATGGTAGTGTGGCCGAGTGGTCCAAGGTGCTAGATTTAGGCTCCCGTCTCGAAAAAGGCGTGGGTTTTAATCCCACCACTACCAAATGTGATATGATTTGATTCTTTAAAAAGAAGTTCACAAAACTTAAACAGTTTGGTAAAATATTTGGTTTTATTACTTGATGCACAAGATTTTGTAGCTTGTACCAGGACGTTCCACACTCTGTTTTCAGTTCTCCATGGTACTGTTGGCCAGAGGTCTAAGGCTCTACGTTTAGGTTCCAGTCTCAAAAGCGGCATGGGTTCAAATAACTCCATTGCCAAATTTGTCCTGAACTGTTTCTTTCCAAGGAAGTTGCCAAAATTTGAACAGTTTGGTGAAATATTTGGTTTTATTTAGATGATGCATGTGATTTTTTAGCTTGTTCTAGGATGTCCCAAGCTCTGTTTTTAATTTACAGTTTTGTAAAGTTTTCCAAATACTTTTTGGCATCTGGTCCCACTCTGTGGTAGTGTGACCGACCAGTCTAAGGCGCTGGATTAAGCCTCCAGCCTCAATAGAGGCCTGGGTTCAAATTCCACCACTGCCAAGTTTGGCCAGAATAGTTTTTTTCCATGGAAATTGCCAAACTTTATTAGTTTGGTGAAATATTTGGTCTTATTTACTTTGGCTTGATGCAGAGGAGTTTTAGCATTTTCTAGGAAGTTCCAGGCTCTGTTTTCAATTTACAGTTAAGTAAAGTTTTGCCAATACCTTGTCGCATTTAATGCCACTCCGTGGTAGTGTGGCCGAGCGGTCTAAGGCACTGGATTAAGGCTCCAGTCTCAATAGAGGCGTGGGTTCAAATCCCACCACTGCCAAATTTGACCTGAATAATTTTCTTTTTAAGAAAGTTGCCAAAATTTTAACCGTTTGGTAAAATATTTGGTCTTATTTACTTTGGCTTGATGCGGAGAATTTTATAGCTTGTTCTAGGACGTTACACGTTCTGTTTTTAATTTACAG